TTTTTATTTATTGTAGGGATGAGATCTCGTCAAGTTGCCCAGGCAGGTCTTGAACCTGTGGGCTCAGGCCATCCACTCACCTCGGCCTCCCAAAGCCCGGGATTACAGGCTGAGCCACCAAGCTGGCCTCCTTGTTCTTTTCAAATAGAGATGAGGTCTTGCTATGTTGTCCAGGCTGTTCTTGAATTCCTGGGCCCAAACAATCCTCCCATCTCAGCTTCCCAAAGTGCTGGGATTACAGTCATGAGCCACCATGCCAGCCCATTTTAAACAGTTTTTAAATGTACAATTTAGTGGCGTTAAGTACATTCACATTTTTGTGTAACCATCACCACCATCCCTCTTTAGAACTTTTTCATCTTCCAAACTGAAACTCTGTCCTCATTAAACAATTCTCTGTTCCCCCTCCTCCAGCCCCCAGCAACCACCATTCTACTTTTTATGAATTTGACTCCTCTAGGGACCTCATATAAGTTGAATCATACAGTCTTTGTCCTTTTGTGACTGGCTTATTTCACTTAGCATCATGCCCCCAAGGTTCATCCGTGCTGAGCGTGTGTCAGGATTTCCTTCCACTTTAAGGCTGAATAACATCCCCTTGTATGGATGGACCACATTGTGTGTATCCAACTGAGCGCTTCTGCCAGTGTTTTTCACTTGCACCACTTGTTTCTTTAGCTCTTCCAAGAGTTTCACAGTCCTGGTTACCCTCCTCCAAACACAGTTTGTACATGAGTCAATTGCGGGAGTGATTTACATTTTTAATCTTCTCGAGTTTCTCAATGCATTTTTCCTTCTTTTTACTGAACCTTTTGAAGTCTTCCTGACAGTTTAGTTACTCAACCACATAGCCAGAGGACATTTGGGGGCTTTAGAGAGGGCAGAAAAGGGGAGGTATGATCCTAATTTCAATAGTCTCCAGTCTATGCAGCAGGTAAAGCAAACAAAATATAATATAGAAAAGGAAAAAAAAAATACTGTATTAGCTCAGGCTGATATAACAAAATACCATAGACTGGGTGGCTTAAACAATAGCCATTTATTCCTCACAGTTCTGGAAGCTGAGAAGTGCATTACATTATTTGGAAGGCCCTCCTGACTTTGGATAGCATTGTCACGTTCACGATCAAGGTGAGAGAGAGAGAGAGAGACAAAGAAAGAAAGAAAGTGAGCTCTTTGATGTTGCTTCTTAGGAGACTTCACTAATCCGAATTACCTCCCAGAGGTCCTATTTCCAAATACCATCACACTGGGGGTTAGAGTTTCAGCATATGAATTTGGGGGCCACCCGGCTCCGTCCATAGCAAATACTTTTTATTAAAACATATAAATGGCTGGGTGCGGTGACTCACACCTATAATCCTAGAGGCAGAGGCAAGAGGATTGCCTGAGCCCAGGAGCTTGAAACCAGTGGGGCAACTTAGTGAGACTTCTTCTCTACAATAAATAAAAAAATGAGCCAGGCATGGTGGCACACACCTCCCGATCCAGCTACTTAGAAGGCTGAGGTGGAAGGATCACCTGAGTCCAGCAGGTCGAGATATCCATGATCGTGCCACCATACTCCAGTTTGGGCAAGAGTGAGATGCCAACCAAAAAAAAAGTAGATGAATCAAAGTACTTAACTACATAGAGCTTAGCTAAGTACTAAAGGAGGGTAAGAAAGAGCAGCTGAATGTCATTAGTTAGAGCAGCTTGTACTTAAATATCGGCCGGTTTTGAACTGAAGAGCCAAAAAGAAATGTAATTTAGGCAAGGAGGGGATGGAGCATCCTAGACGGGAAGAATCATGTCCAGATATGATGCCAACAAGGGCAAGAACTGATGGGGACATCTGTTGGAGAGGCCTGGGCAGAGCATGTCTTTATCTGCCAGCCCGTCTGTGTGCCAGGCACAGTGTGTGCACAGGGGAACAGCGGGAAGCAAGGTCTCTGCCTTTGTGGAGCTCACGCTCTGATGCGAAGAGACCAACACCAAGCAAAGGAACAAACAGGCATTTCAGATCACGTTAAGGGCCTCTACAACATCTAACCGGGGTGGCTGTGGGTTGTGATACAGAGATACTGCCAGGCGGGGTGAGGAGGTGCTTTAGGTTAGGCAACCTGGAGAGGCTACCCAAGAGGAGGTATTTGAACAGCCTGAAGAAGGCAGAAAATCCCACCTTGGTAAGAATGGGAGGAAGACCATTCCAGGTATCAGGAACAGTGGGAAAGAATTTTATTTTATTTTTTATTTTATTATTATTTTTGAGTCGGAGTCTCACTCTGTCATCCAGGCTGGAGTGCAGTGGCACTCTGACAAATACCGCAGCCTTGACCTCCAGGGCTCAGGCGATCCTTCCACCTCAGCCTTCCAAGTAGCTGCAACTACAGGTACACACCACCATGCCTGGCTAATTTTTTTGTAGAGACAAGGTCTCACCAAGTTGCCAGGCTGGTCTTGAGCCCCTGGTCTCAGACAGTTCGCTTGCCTCCACCTTCCAAAGTACTGGGGTTACAGGTGTGAGCCGCTCTCGGCCCAAAATTTTATTTTATTTTATTTTTTTATTTTTATTTTTTTTGAGCTGGAGTCTCACTCTGTCGCCCAGCCTGGAGTGCAGCGGCCGCTCCCGGCCACCGCAGCCTCTACCTGCTGGGCTCCGGCGATCCTTCCACCTCAGCCTTCCCAGTAGCCGGAGTTACAGTCATGCACTACCACACCCGGCTAATTTTTTGATTTTATTGTAGAGATGAGGTCTCACCTACCCGGGCGGGTCTCGAACCCGCGGGCTCAGGCCATCCACTCACCTCAGCCTCCCAAAGGCGCGGGATCACAGGCTCCCATCGAGCCCGGCTCTCGGCCAAGAGTTTTAAATGTTTGAGGAATGAAACATTCCTCAAAGCTGGGATATTAGAAGGGCAGTAGGGCCAGGAGTCATGGCTCATGCCTGTGATCCCAGCACTTTGGGAGGCAGAGGCGCAAGAATTGCTTGAGCCGGGAAGTTTGAGACCAGCCTGGGCAACACAGTGAGACTTCATCTCTAAAAAAAATTTAAAAATTAGCTGGGTGTGGTGGTGTGTGCCTGTAGTCCTGCTACTCAGGAGGCTGAGATGGAAGGATTGTCTAAGCCCAGGAGGTCAAGGCTATCTTGAGCTGATTATGCCACTGCACTCCAGCCTAGGTGACTGAGACTCTGACCCCCCCCCCCAAAAAGAAAAAGGCAGTAGGGCGTAGGAAGAAGGAGCATTGATACTCCTGCAGGGCCACTCTGGGGGTGCTATATGTGGACCTCTAAGCAAGGAGGTGTGATCTCAGGCTTGATTTACCAGGACCCTTCTTCCAGCTGCTGGGTAAAGAGTGGCCTGGGTAAGGGCCATTCATTCGGGCAACTGTCTCGGTGTCCCAGGAGGGACCTGCAGTGGGTGGGCTTGGGTGGAGGTGGGGAGATGTAGAGGGATTTTGATGGCAGAACAGACATCACCACTGATGGGTTGGATGGGAGCAGAGGGCAAAGGCAGTGACTGAGGATGGCTTCTGGGCGTGTGGGGCTGAACAACTGGTGCTTGATGTAGTGAGACTGGGGAGACCAGGAGGCGATGGGTGGGGAGCTGGATGTGCTGGCAGGAGGTAAGAGATCAAAGCCGCGGACCTGGAGGTAGAGATCTGGGGACAAGCCACCAAGGGAACCAGCCATCCTGGGGAAGCAGGTGAGGCGGACAGTAAGGTCGAAGAAGTTGATGGGTGTGTGTTGGATGCTGGGAGTTGCTGAAGACAGTGTGGCGTGGGGAGGGGATGCTCTCAGATTGACCTGGGTTTGAATTCTGGCTCCATTTCTTGCTGCCTGTGCTGTGAATACTTTGAGCAACTTGACTTGCCAAATAAGGGATTCGATTACCTGCCTGCAGGTGAAGATAGGAAGCAAATTAGCAGTGCATACCTGAAGGGAGGCAGAGGCTCAAGTGAGGTGGCTGCTGGTGACAACTGCTCCCTTATTACTACTGATCAAGAGAAGAAGTAAAATGACCTCGATGTTGGACACCAAATTCCAGGTGTCACAGCCAGGACGGAGCAGTCTCGCTGAGGACCGAAGGCTGCCCCAAAGTGGGGTGCTGTAATTGGCCCTCTGTACCTCGCCTGTCCCAGGCTCACCTGATCTCCACTTGGTTCTGAACGCTCCCTGTCACCCTAGCTCAGGCACGAGGTCCCAGCCGTTAGCTTGAGCCATCCCCACCTGCACTGTGACCAGCCATGGCAGGCTTCTGCTTTGGTCTCTTGCCCCAGGTTTCTCACCCATCCTTTCCCATCACCAGCCTTGTTATTCCCCAGATGGAGCTGATGGCCTGGTCTCGGGGAGATTCTTTTTACCCTGAATGGGACAGGTTTTGTCGGTGGGCACTGGTAGCTACTGCAGAAACGCAGGCTGGGGCATGGGCAGGCTGGGGCCTCCGGCCAAATCTCGGGTTAACTGGACCACTCCCTTGGTCTCTTTCCCACAAGCTTCTGGCCCTTGATCGTAAGGTGCTGCCTGTCCCCAGTTCCCAGTCCCAGGATCACAGCCTTCACTGAGGCCGCTGGTGGTGGCCACCCAGGTCCTCCGTTGGAGTACATGCCTCCCTCCCCTCACGTTGTCTTTCCTCTGTCTTCCCTTTGTTCGTCTCCTTTCTCATCGATGCTGCCTGCTCTCGGGTTGCCCTCGGCCTCAGCGGTGGGCCCTCCTCTGACCCCTTGCCTCAGGACTGGCCACCCTCACCCGCAGCACATCCTCTGTGCCTGCCCCTGCCTTGGGACCTTTGCGAGCCAGCCTGGCCTTGGCAGCCCAAGGGCTGGGCCCCCGCCAAGAGCTGTGTGTGTGACTGGGCAGTGCCCAGCCAGCCCCCGCAGGCCAGACCCGGGCCCTGCTCCCTGCCCAAGCAAGGCCTGAGGTTGCCCATTGGCCACGGCCTGGCTGGGCTGTCCTAGGGGAGGGCTGGGAGGGAGGAAGAGAGGCTGGGAGAAAGGCGCCCTTCCTGTGGTGCCTGCTGGTAATTGGCTCTGCGGAACCGGCCTGGGACACGAGGGCCTGTCGGGTCAGGAAGTGGTAACAATGCTGCTCTTTCAGGAAAGACACGGCTTGGTCTTAGGTCCTGTGTGACTCCAGGGGAATCTGGAGAACAGCCTGTTCTCAGAGGATGTTCTCTAACCTAGACTCCCCTCCAGAGGTGAGATGTTGAGCCCTGAGCTTCCCATCCTGGGCACTGGGAGGGGCCCCAGGCGTTGGCCTGTGGATGGGCCAGGAACCATTCCGAACGAATGATTTCCCTCAGGGAGAGAGTCCACAGCAGGGGGGAGGGGCAGGCGATTTCCCCAAGAGACTGGGAAACATGTGCCCGCCCTCTTTAGAGGGGAGTACTTGGACGCAGTGGGTCCTGACGATTTGCTACCACTGACCCCATGCCCTGCCTTGGGTGGGGAGGGAAGGCATATACACAGTGTCGAACATGTTAGAGAAATGGGAATTCAAAAAACAGAAAGGGAAGTAAGAAAAACACATTTTTGGCCCAAGTAGCTTGGTACATCTTTAAGAAAAGGCCAAGTTTGGTCTGTGCCTGAAGAACGGGCGGGCTTTGGAACGTGAAAAGAAGGGGAGGCGTGGGGGGGGGGTGAGGGAGAGGGGGTGCCCCAGACACAAAGCATTATGGGAACAGCAGGAAGCTGGTCCTAGCAGGGAGCTTCTGCCCTGGAGACCTCTTGGAGTCTGACATTCCGGCCCCCGGGAACCCACAGCTTTCCTTAGCGTCTAGAACACTGAGGCGCTGCCCTGCTTCTGTGTCCCTGAGCCCCGAGAAGCCTTGCCGCAGTCCTGGGCAGCGGGCCCACAAACATGGGTGGACTGTCCCTCAGGTGTGGCTACTGTGGTGAAGAATTGCTTGGGGGACGCAGGAACGTTGACTGCAGTCTTGCGAACCTGCCAAAGCTACAGGGAAGGGTCTGGACAGTCTGGCCTTGCTGTAGCTGTTGGCTTAGGAAGAAGCTCTTTCTACAACCCAGTGCTAGGCCAGCCCCTTGTCATGGTACCGAGGGTACAATGTACAGCGACGCCAGGGTGTTCCACACCTTCCTTAGGACCCTGGAGAAATAGCTCCTCACTCAAGAGGATGAAGGGTTATTTGTTTCAGGCCCCTCCCTTACTCCAGAGCCTTCTGTGGAGCCCCAGTATCCATCAGATCACAAGTCCATGGCCTGATATCCAGGGTCTTCCATCATCTGAAAATGGGAAGGGATTTAGAAGTCATCTAATCCAACCTGAGCCTATCAGTCTTTTTCATGATAACCTGGAGGAATGGTTGCCTCTCTTCTGCCTGTGTCCTTCTAATAATAAGGAATGTTCTCTTTCATGAAGCAGCTTTTTCTTTTTCTTTTCTTTTTTTTTTTTTGAGCCAGCATCCCACTGTGTTGTCCGGGCTAGAGTGCAGTGGCATGCTCACAGTTACTGCAGCCTTGACCTGCTGGGCTCATGCGATCCTTCTGCCTCAGCCTTCCAAGTCGTAGCTGGAACTGTAGGCACATACCACCATGCCCTGCTAATTTTTTTTTTAATTGCAGAGATGAGGTCTTACAGATGAGACCAGATGAGGCTGGTCTCGAACCCCTGGGCTCAGGCAATCCTCTCACCTCCAACCACAAAGTGCTGGGATTACAGGCGTGAGCTGCTGTGCCTGGCCCATGACACAGCTTTATCCAGAAACTGCCTCCCTCTACTTCTGCTCATCATTGGTCTAGGTTTGATCCTCTGGAATTCTCTCTCCTTCTATATGAACACTCTTCAGAATATTGATGTACAGCTGGGCACAGTGGCTCACGCCTATAATCTCAGCACTTTGGGAGGCCATGGTGAGAGGATTGCCTGAGCCCACGGGTTTGAGACCAACCTAGGCAACTTGGCAAGACCTCATCTCTACAATAAATCAAAAAACTAGCTGGGTGTGGTGGTGCATGCATGTAGTTCCAGCTACTTGGAAGGCTGAGGCGGAAGGATCACCTGAGCCCAGCAGGTTGAGGCTGCAGTGGCTGGGAGCGTGCCCCTGCACTCCAGCCTGGGTAACAGAGTGAGATTTCAACTCAGGAAAAAAAAAAAAAAGGAATATTGATGTACTTCTAAGTTTTCTTCAGATCCCAATCCAAGTAACTTCTTTTGGAAATAGTCCAAATGTTAGTTTTCTTTATAATATGTAAAGCCTACAACTGAATAGTTGAGACCTGCTCCTGTGTAGAGAATTACCCACACCCTCCCGCATTCTGAACACCATACTCCTTTTAATGCATCCAGGGACATAAGACTTGCATTTTCATCAACCACATCTAATGTTGCTTATATTAAGTTAGCAGCCAAAAATAAAATGCCTAAGTGATGTTCACACGTGCAGCTTTGAGTCACAGCTTCCCCGTGCCAATGAGTTTAGACCTAAATATAACAAATTTCCTTTCTACCTACTGGATTTAGCTTGTGAAGTTTAACCTGTTTTCTCAGTCCATGAAAGCTGTTTGGATTCTGAGTGTGTTGTGCAGAGATTGAGACCCCCGAGCCTGAGCTGCAGAGCGGCCTTGGGAGGCTGAACCCCAGCCCTACATGTGCTGACGGAGTAGCCCTGGGCAACTGGCTTTGCCTTTCTAAGCCTTGGTTTACTCATCCGTAGAAGGAAGAGGATTAATACAAATTACCACCGACCGGCAGGTTGTCGCCTTAGAAGGCTACACTGAGAGAATTCCTCACAAAATGCTTAGCACAGGGCCTGGTAGTCTACACTGATTCCAACCACTGCTGTGCGTGAGTGCACGCCCTCTGTGCTTTTCAAAATGACTGTTTATTTCCCCTGAAGCTGGCTGGCCTTATTGTTCTTTGTTTATTCAGGGCCTCTGCTCACAGTACCCCACCCCCACCAGACGGTGGCCCCGGCCTCGGTTCCTGCCCTCTCAAGGCTTAGTGTCCACAGCACCTTCCCTGCCTGGTGGGTGCTCCCTCTGCTGCCCCCGGATCCTGGACACGGATCCTGCTGAAGTTGGTCTTCCCGCCCCCCTGGCTTCAGGTTCTTCCCATTCCCACTTCCGGCACTCGGCACCTTCATTCCCACCACCTCTGTTGCTTGCTACCTTCCTCCCTTGACGCCTCCCCGCAGGCTCCGTCCGGCTCCGCTCCAGCTGTCTCCGCTGCTGGCCCACATTCCTCCAGCTGCTGCCACCCCTCCTTGCCTCTCAGAAGGCCCCTGGCCTCCCCTGCCCAGCCTCACTCCCTTCCGGGTTCCCCTCTGCTGCTCCCCTGCACTCACAGCCCCCCAGCCTGCATGCCCCGTGCCTTTCCACTCTGGTGCCTTCCTCTTCCTGGAAGGCCTGTCCTCTGTGTTCGTGACCTGGACCCAGCCCTCGGCGACCCCCTCCATAGTACAGAGCTGTCAGGTAGCAGGACCTGGGCCAAGTTTCTCAGCCTTCCTGAGCAGTAGTTTTTAGGTGCCCCCTCCCCCCGCCGCCGAGGATGCATGAGGCATTAACAGAGAAACAGGTAAGCTGCAGGGGCCAGAACCTGGGACAAACTATCCCTTCCTTTCTTTAAGAAATTTTCCCATGGCTAGGCTCAGTGGCTCAGCCTGTCAGCCCCGCACTTTGGGAAGCCGAGGCGAATGGATTGCCTGAGCCCATGGGTTTGAGACCAGCCCGGGCAACTTGGCGAGACCTCGTCTCTACAATAAATCAAAAAAGTTAGCTGGGTGTGTGGTAGTGTGCACCTGTAGTTCCGGCTATTTGGAAGGCCGAGGCAGAAGGATTGCTGGAGCCCAGGAGGTCAATGCTGGGGTGGCCGTGAGCATGCCACTGCACTCCAGCTTGGGCAATGAAGTGAGACTCCAGTTAAAAAAAAAAAGTTTTCCCTGACCAGTGTCTCAGCTTTCCTAGCTTAAAAGGATTTCTCTCTCCTTTCAACATTTATAGCACAGAACGTTTCCAGTTTTAGCTACTCACGCACACGCACGTGCACACACATACATACAGAGGATCTATAGTTAGAAACTCATGGTGTTATTTTATGTCGCTTATGGGAATTTTAAGATGGTTTGTCACTTGGTTTTGTTTTTATTTGTTTGTTTTGTAAGCAAGGCTCCCACTGACCACAAGCTTGGGCAGTTGACTAGGCAGTATAAACACTTATTTGTGGGGTAAATCTAAGTTTCACCCATCATGGGTCCTCCCTTGAGTCCTCGAAGATGTTTCTAGCATTTTCAGCTACATTCTCTGCTTGCTCACGGCCCATACTCCTGACTGTCTCTACCAAACCCCTCAGAACTTGACCATATCCAGGCCAGCACCTTACCAGATTTGGGTCTTGTTGTCCTTTTGCATCTCTCTGTTCCTTGTAAGTCCTTTTAGACTGCAGGCAACCATTAGGGTCTCAGTCAGTATGGTGTCTTGCCCCGCAGTCTGTCTGCAGTCAGAATCTCGTCATCGTCCCAGTGCCAAGGGAAGAACATGGTTTAAAAGGCTGGGATGCAACCAGGCTCAGTGGCTCAGCCTGTAATCCCGCGCCTTTGGGAGGCTGAGGTGGGTGGATCGCCTGAGCCCGGTTCGGGACCCACCTGGGCAGCGAGACCTCATCTCTCCAATAAATCAAAAAATCAGCCG